AACATTGTGACTCAGGGTCAAGCCTGGATACTGGAAAGAGGAGTATACCTCTTTAGCTTTTTTTGGCCCCGTGTCCTCTGCGACCTCAATCAGATTAAACACTACTCTAAAGCAGTGTTTCTCAAACTTTCTTTTATCTTCCTCTTCCCTTTCACTGATCATTTTCAAATCAAAATAATACTGGATGATAAAGACTGGTGAGAAGCAAAATAAACAAGTTACTTTATACTCATTACTAATACCCTAATAATATTTTTTTTACATTTACCTTGCTGTAATGTGATGTCACTTGTTTGAATAGCATAAATTCATGAGCAGCATACCACAAATGAAGTGTCACTGAATGGAGAAATTATATTCATATCTGCTTTAGCTATTGGTGTGTGAATATGTCATATTTGAATCACAATACATCATGTCTTGAAAATAATAAGCCAAAATTACTCTTTGGCTAATTGCTTATTACTAATTGCTTTGATGCAATTATGTATCCTTGACAGTCAGGTGGCATCACACCACCACCCATAGCAAAACAGATAGATAATGATAACATGAAACTAGCAGTAACTTGTAATTAAAAGGCAAGGATCTCAGCAGCCTGAAAATCAAAGCCTATTCAAGACTTCATTGATGATGTACTAGTAACAAATCGTTCTTTTCCCAAATTGCAGGAATTCCGAAGGTCAGTTAGGAGTTTTATAATGTTACTAAGCATTGTGCAGCAGCCAAACTTCTTAGTAAAATTAATTAGAGCTCTCACTAAACACAAATAACTCTTAAATTTTGTTTTAAGGATACCAGTTAGTAATTCCAGTTAACTGTCTTGGTGTACAAGGTGACTATTAGTAGTCCTCAGTCATGTGTTAAAAAATTGCTGTCGTTTGAAGGAGCCAGAGAAAGGGATTGTAGTTTGAGATCATTTTGAGGGCTTGAAGAGCCCTTCTTTGGCCCATTCTGAGAAACACTGCCCTACAGAATGACTAAGGAAATTCTCTTATTTAGGTATAACCATTGCTTTGAGCCATGAAGCCAGGGGCTTTAACTAGCCCGGCAGGGACAGGGCAGCCCACACTCCAGCCTCTGTTACCAGATAGAATTGACCGGGTGTTAGTTCCCTTGCTGCTTCTCTCATGCAGATTAAGGTCAGCCAACTGAAGAAATGGTTGAGTCACTTTACCTCTCAGCCCTCAAAAAATCAGCTAGATGATTTCAAAGATTGCATCCAGCTATAAATTCAGTGATTCTCCTAATCTTAGGGCTGCATTGCTACCACAGAAGCCCAGTGAATAGGTATTATCTTCCAGATATTAAAGGGTATCATGCTGTAGGCTCTTAGGAAGATCTGAGAAGAGTGTTAGTCATTAATCACAGTGAAGATCCTCTTAGGTGATATTACTACTTACTGGTTTCAAGTAAAAATGAAAATAAATCTGATGATCTCTTCCAGTTTTATTGTCACCACCAGTTTCCATTAGGACTAACCATCTCTAGTGTAGCAGTGTGGCTGCTCAGTTATTATACTTTAGACATCACCCTTATTTTCCTCTGTAGGATGGCTAGTGACTCAGACTCAGCCATCCTGTGCTAAAGGTGAAAGAAGATGTTGGCTTTGTCCAAAAAGAGATGTAATTACATTCTTGAACAACGCTTTGCAAGTGAAAATAGCTCCCTCACCTACAGAAGACAGGAATGAAATACCTATGCAGAGAGTCCCTCTGCTCCTATGTGGTTTTCTTATCTTGCCTGAGAAACTGGGGATCAGAGAATAAACTGTCAATACCCTACTGGAGATTCTTTTTGGTGCTCTTTATTCTGACCCCATTGTGGGCCTCGCTGGATCTCTCCTGTGGTTGCATTTATTTTTTACTGCCCAAATTAGAGAATTCTTGATGTTTCCATTATGTCCGTTATACAGCAGAGATAGGAGCATGAGAAGCTCCTCTTTTAAAGATAACCATTGTCACTTCAGAGAATGATACCCCCTTTGGGCATTATAGCAAGGCTCTAGCATGCTACTACGTAAAATAGTCAGATTCAAAGTACTACTTGGTTCCAGCAAGTCAGCTCTGTCACTTTTTCCTTCCTAAGACTTGCTGTGTTTCCCAGATGGAAAGGTGCATCAACTCAAAGACAGCAGTCTCTCATTTCAACTCTAAGGATCTTAATACTTCAAAGAAATGAGGGAAAATGTGTTTGAACCCTTATTGCTAATTGTGATTTTTTTTAAAAAACAATTATACCTCTATAAGGTTATATTCCTCCAACACTGAGGACGCCAGCTTGACTAAACCGATCCAGAGGAGGCAGTTGACTGTAAATTGGTCATGTCAGTTGAAGACTGGATTCTATAAATGCATCTCAATCTCAAGGCAGACTTAAGAACAATTATCAGTACATTGTATATTTAATAATAAATTTCTTACTATGGATTAATCAGAAGATTTTTTGTTAAGTCCTCTTAGGAGGAAGTATTAGAGAGAAGTCATCTAATTAAATGTTTCCTTGTGTTTTAAGAGCTTTTTTGCTGCAAAGTGACCAATGATAAAAACATGTTTCATTGCTAACTGGATATATCATGCTTTGTTGTTTCTCCACGATATTAATATTTTCTTCTCTTTCGAGGTGCCCACGGTCTGCAGATGATGAGCGAAAGCACCCTGTCCTCTGTCTTTTCTGTGGGGCCATACTGTGTTCTCAGAACATTTGCTGCCAAGAAATTGTGAATGGGGAAGAGGTTGGTGCTTGCATTTTTCATGCACTTCACTGTGGAGCTGGAGTCTGCATTTTCCTAAAGTGAGTAGTGAGTGATCTAGAAGCTTCCTAATGAACTTCGAGAATTTGGATCCAATCTAGAGGCCATTATGGCAGGACAGTGTGTTGATAGGAATGATCTATCAGAAGTTAGAGTATAGACCTGTTAATCACATGAGATTGCATTTGAAAAGATATTACAGAATAAATTTTTTTAAAGGAAGATTCTGTTCACATTTTCATTATTTGTGGAAACTCTTAAACAAATGTGGTAGACTTTGTATTGATTACTTTGGTATTGTATAATACAATACAATGGTATAGTGAAAGAGCTTGGAGTCCTAAAACTTATATTTAAAGCGTACATGTAAATTGTTACTTTAGATTGTCCTTTGAATGTTTCAGTTTTCTTCATTTCCTCTATCAGCCAACCATTGTTTTCCCTGGTCTCTCAATAAAAGACTAAGAGTGACTATTGTCACTCAATTTATGAAAGTAGAGTGTAGGTTACCTGAGAGAGATAAAATTTAAAGTGGATGCATGTGCTTTTTCTTTCCGTTCTCCACATGTAATGTGTTTCTGTTTACATAAGCCCAAATATCTCACTCACTATGGAATATATAATCATTGCTTATAGGCATCTGTTGGAAAAAGGGGAATGGATGTGTGGAAGCCAAACCCAAACACCTGTTTTCTTCTTATTTTCTTTTTCTAGGGAACCTATGGGTAAACCCACTACCCATTCCAACTATTTATTTTATTATTTCTCTCTGTAGTACTTATCCCTCTGTATACATGTACACAAGCATTATTCTTCATGTCTCCATTTCTCTACTGTGAGAGTTCCAAGTACCTTCCAGCTGGCAGTGGTTCTTTATGATCTGCACTATCGGAGGCTGGCTGTAACCAGAAAGGTTTAACACTTCCGTAGTTGACCTTCTTTCTGGCCCAAGGTTATCAGTCTGGGAGATGTGGTTCTGTTCTTCTGTTAAGCTCCCTCCCCTCTCCAGGTCATAGGTCAAGAAACAGAACAGAAACACCCCAGCCACCATTCTCCAGGGCATCTGTGGCTCAAGTAGGACAGCCTCCTTCCTCTCTTCAATATTCAGTCAGTATTACTGATTCCGTTTCCCTAAATCTGTTGATCCTTTCCCATAGCTTCAACAAAAATAGCAGTGTTCATTCTCTTTTAGACAAAACACAGTTTAGTCTGTCTGTATTTATATTGTCTTTATTTATACTGAATTCCTAACAGATATTGGCATGTCTTTTCTCTAGATTAACTTTGATGCAGTGCCTGTCATTTGCACAAATGCAGTTAATAATATTTCCTGTTGGTTGTTTTGTCCTTCAGAATTAGAGAATGCAGAGTGGTCCTGGTTGAAGGTAAAGCCAGAGGTTGTGCCTATCCAGCTCCTTACTTGGATGAATATGGAGAAACAGACCCTGGCCTGAAGTAAGATTTTTTTAGTCATATTATTGTGGATGGTAACAGTTCTTTAAACACAAAAGCTGATGCTAAATATTGAGAGATATTTTTAAAAGCTATAAGTTAAAAATGTTAAGTATGATGCCATCTTAAATGTAACACATAGTTTTCAACAACTTTATGCTTTTCCAAAATTTGAGAGTAATACTTCTCCAGAATTTTTAAAGATGCCAGCCATCCTAATGCTTGAATGCTCTTATTATTTTTAGTCAACCTTTCTTCAGAATTACTTAGAAGGTTTAATTGACACTGATATATAAAAGAAAGAAATCTCTGTAGTGTCCAGTGAGGGAATTTGGTTTAAAATGGATATTCATACTTGAAACTTTTTATTAGCCAGCTGTATCAGCCTTCTTTGCTTCCAAGCATTGGCAAAATATTTAGAATCCTGAACTTTTCTATATCATTCCCTGATGTTAGGAAATGGAGTACCACTCATGGTTTAAGAGAAAGAGGAAGTAAGGCCACAGTGGTCCTAAAAGTACATACAGATACAGATTAGATCCTCTTACCATAAATTATCTCTTTTTGTTTAACTGAAATTCTGTTCTTTTGAAATATTGCTTGGAATGAATAGGCTTACTAGATGGGACTTGGAATCTTTGATCATACAGACATTTGTTTATATTGTGATGGCATTTGACCTGTATAGAGATAGTCTTTGGATTAAGGGAGAAAAAAGCTAAGTGGTGAAAGTAGTTAATGACTGAGGATAAGAGATCTGAGTTGTTCTAAAAGGTACAAAGAAGCAGAATTTTTTAATTAATCAGACAATTTGAAAATACCCAACCTTGAGGCCGGCCCGGTGACGTATCGGTTAAGTGCGCATGCTCTGCTGTGGCAGACCGGGGTTCGGATTCTGGGCACGCACCGAAGCACCGCTTATCAAGCCATGCTGTGGCGGCATCCCATATAAAGTAGAGGAAGACGGGCACGGGCATTAGCCCAGGGCCAGTCTTCCTCAGCAAAAAGAGGAGGATTGGTGACAGATGTTAGCTCAGGGATAATTTTCTTCACAAAAAAAAAAAAAGAAATACCCAACCAGCTGAGACACTTGGATGCCTCAGGAATAAGAATCTCACAGTTCTCCATTATTGGCAACAGCCAAACTTTAGTCATTTTGGATTAGCTGTTATACAGTGTTACAAACTGTACAACCTTAAAATTGACGTGGAGTAATTTTGTTTAAATATTTGCTAATCACCAGCAGCTTTGTTGTGTCATAAGGACAACTATAACCACATATTTCTGAGGAGCAGAATATAATTCAAGGGCTTAGTGTTACACCTCAGACCTAACCTCTACTATGCAAAAATCAGAAATCAAAGCTGGATCAACTATATGAGGCAAAAAAGCCATTAGAGCCCCATTCAGGCTAACCACCCAAAAAAGAATAGACTGCTTCAAGTTATAAACCTCATTAGCCATTTAAGTGGGGTTCCATAATGCCCATGGTGTACTTGACCTATTTTCTGAATAATCAAGGAGTAAATTTCTGCTTCATTAGCTAAGTAACCTATCAAATTCATAGTGATCAATGGTGAAAGGAAAATATCCCATTTAAAACTCTGTCCTGGTGACTCCTCCCAGCTCCAAGAATATCTCAAGAGTTCAGACTAATTTAGGCAATAAAGATGTGGCAGTTATTTGATTCAAACTTACATGTTATTTTTTTTCCTGAAGGAGGGGCAACCCCCTTCATTTATCTCGTGAGCGGTATCGGAAGCTCCATTTGGTGTGGCAACAACACTGCATTATAGAAGAGATTGCTAGGAGCCAGGAAACTAATCAGATGTTATTGGGATTCAACTGGCAGTTACTATGAGCTCCAACTCTGCCTCGGGACAATCACGAATGAAGATAGTAATGAAGATTGATTCAAAATTATGGAGCCCTTTCTGAGGGCTGGGGAAGGGTTGGAGGGTCTTTTGCTCCATGTCCAGATTCACATACGTCAATAAAATATTCCTTAATGGAGTATTGCTTTCAATTAGTGAACATATGCTTAAAGGAAAAAAAGGACGTAGATTAATCTATTGTATGTTTCAAAACACTAAAGAAATGCTTCTTCACTCCATATGTCTGATTCTGCTAATGTTTCCAGAAAACTCATTTCCCTTCGTAATCTGTCCCATTTCATTTCATCCACCTGGTAAATGAAGTCACATTAAGCAGTGGTGGACATTTTTATATGTTGGTTAACTCTTCTACATACAATTTGGTATTTGGTGTGCCTCCCCTCTCCCCACCCCGCCACCAAGTTTAGGATCACTGACAAGATTCTAATAATCTGTGATAGTCTTCTTTGCAGCTAAAGAGGAATTGCAGAAACCATGCAGCGTACTTCAACTGAGAAAGTCTTCAGAAAAGTAAATCTTTTATTATTTCTCTTTTAAGGAAATACCCCTAATGTGCCACTTACTGTTTCAGCCAGAAGTTAAACTAAATCTCTATAAGGACAGAGCTGACATTTCAAGGGAAATTTCTGCCAGTGTGGAAAAGCATTTTTCCCACTGTAGACCTCAAGAAGAGTTGGGATAATGTATTCATTATTCATCCCTGATGGGACAAAGAGCCCGTAATCCTCACCTCTGGCCACAAATAGCTTTGTTGAATTTTGAAATTATACTTTCCACTTTCCAAAGGCAAGTTTCTAAAATGAGCTCACTTATCTCTTGACGGTGGCACCATCCTCTTTGACTCTTAGAAATCTGATGCAGTCCTATGTAAACTATCTGTAGAATAAGGATAAGAAAATTCCCCTAATGAATGGAGCGTGGCAGCTGTAAATTAGAACAGTCAGATTTAAGCCAATCCTGTAACCTTCTATGTCTTTGTAAAAGACAGATCTTTCATTTGTTATCTGTGTGCAACCTTCTCATAAACTCTGGTTTTATGACTAGTACAAACCACCAAAAAAGCCATGTGATCAATAGTCTGTGCCTGTTATAACATGCTGTGGTTGAGCCATCTTGTTTATAAATAATAGAGCTCTCTTGAATCTGTGCATAGACTTCTTGGTTTTTGGCTTTAACTTTTTATGTCAAGAACTTGTGATATGAAACAGCAGACAGAAGATAAATTGAAATCTTCCATTTTAGCTTCTGTTGTCTCTGGGGTAATGTTAGGAGTTTGAAAGATGCAGTCAAAGACCATCCTAATTTGCCTTTGGTAACCACTGTCATGTATGTGTGTAAATGTTTTCCTACCTTCTTTTTGCTCAGCAAAGGCAAGTGAATAAAAATTTGTTTGCAAAGTGATTAATGATGCACATTTGGGGTTAGGTTTTTTGGTATTTTTATGTAAAGTAAAGAAAAGGTGGATTTTGCAGTAAAGGATTTGCATGAACAGGCATCAGAATCACAATCATGATATTCTACTTGAATAATTATTATTCAGAAGGTATCAGGAAATACAACTCCAGTGAACAATTTGTAACAATTGATGGGTGAGGATCAGAAAATTCAGTATTCAGTTTGTCAAATTTGCCAATATGATTAAATGATTAGAACATTTCCCTTTATTTCTTATATGATTTTGTTGGATGGATTCTCTAGGAAGTCTGAGCCAGAATAGGCAAGAGAAGATGCTGACTTCTGCCCTAATTGATTGGCCCCAGTGTAACAAAGATAAACTGACTTTTTATTTCTAGTCTTTTTATATTAACTTCATAAATCCTGGAGTTAAGCTCTCAAGCTGCCAGAGGGACTATCCTGCAGTGGCCAGTGAGACCCTTACTGCCAAAGAACCCATTTCAGATCGAGTTCCACTTATTGAGATTGATCAGATCTCCACACTGGAGATGAACATATGTCTCAGTGCTGCCCCCAGCCTAAGGGATTTCTAATTATATCAAAGATCCTAGTTCTTTGCCTTCATCATTGCAAACAATTTAATTATGCTTATGAAGTTTACTTACAAATGAGCAAAAAGTCACTTTATTTTCTTTAGTATAGTATGTGGAGGAACTGGTTCAACAGGATGGCTCCAAAACTGTGTTTTTCTAATGTTTGATGAGGGGCCGGCAGGAATTTTAATGATACAGTGAAGAAAAACATATATCTGTATAATTAATTTATTATGTTGGTGTGTGGGCTGTGAGTTCACCCTTTAGTGGTCATTTGTCATTTCATAACAACTATGCATTTTGGTTCACTGTGATGATGATCTACATTTAGTGACTGCAATATGTTTATACCACTGATTCAAATTCCATCCATGATGAGGTTATACAAATAATGCATATATTGATATCTTTTATTGCAAAATGTAAATTTAAAACTTGTATAATGTTCTTGTGCTTTTTGAAATAAAATATATGTGTACATTTAAAAAGAAAAAAAGGATTTCTCATGTTTGGGGATTTGGGTTTGAAGTATAAAAATCTATACCTAGAAAGGAGCTCTAGTTAAAAGTTATCTTTGTCAGGGGGCCGGCCCTGTGGCATAGCGTTTAAGTGCATGTGCTCCACTTCAGTGGCCCAGGGTTCACAGGTTCGGATCCCAGGCACACACCGACGCAACACTCATCAAGCCATGCTGTGGCAGCGGCCCATATAAAGTAGAGGAAGATGGGCACGGATGTTAGCCCAGGGCCAGTCTTCCTCAGCAAAACGAGGAGGATTGGCATTGGATGTTAGCTCAGGGCTAATCTACCTCACCAAAAGAAAAAAATGATCTTTGTCAGCCCAGAGAAAGTCTTTAAAAGACAGGTATTCAGTGTAATGGGCTCCAAACTTTTTGACCATACACTCTATCAGTAAATCATTTTTAAGCATGCATATTATATATATATAATTATTTTATATTCATGCAATACTGTACTAATACATTAAGTACATTATAATACATTGCCCAAAAATGGAGATTTAAAAAATCAGTTGAAAACTAGAATATTTCTATTTAAATAAACCCAAGTCAATCTATGCATCCCTTTGGATATACACACCCTATTGTGGAGACAACTATCTAGAGCAACACTGTCCAGAAGAACTCTGCAATGATGGAAATGTTCTATATTTGCTCTGCAATATGGTAGTCACTGTCCCCATACAGCTATTGAACATTTGAAATGTGGCTTGTACAACTGAGGACCTGTATTTTTAGTTTTATTTAATTTTAATTAAATAGTCATGTGTGGCTAGTAGCTACTGTATTGGGCAGCATAAATCTAGTGTAATGGTTCTCAAACTTGACTGTGCATTAGAATCACCTAGAGAGTGTTAACAAAATACAAATTTCTGGTTTTCATCCTAGATCCTGAATCAGAATCTCCTGGGATTGAGCCTTAAGATAAACAGTGTGATTTCCTTCTGTTTCTAAACCATGACTCTACACTTAGAACTTGCTTTCTTTTTACCTCAGTGATTTCAGGCTAAGTGCCAAAGAGCTTTTGGGAGAAAAGTAGACCAGAGAGGGGAAAAGTGCTAAACTTGGATAGTTGTGATATTTCATTTGGAACTTCTATGTAAGCTTTCATTTAAGGAAAGGGTACTTAGAGTTTTTTAAAAAGCCATTGATTTAGTTTTAAGACTTTAAAATATTCTGGGAGGGTAACACTGAAGGCAATGAAGGAAGGGTTTTAGGGGATGGGAGATGAAAATACAAGGTACTTGTAATTGGCGGGGAGATGTCACTAAGGAGTCTTCTCCATGCTTATATTGGAGTAGCTGGGCACTACTAGGATAAACAAATCATACAACCAGGCAAGTTGTTCGCAATTTGACTGCATTAAAATGTAAAATTTCCATACAACAAGGGGCACTGTTAATAAAAGATATCCAGAGTTAGGTGGTATGATCACATTAACAGTGTAGTTCTGAATCTCCCCAAAACTTTTCCTGAAAACCGTATACACTAACCAGGATAACAAAACAAAACAAAAAATTCAACATAACTAGATAACAGGCAATCTCCATGAACTCTGAATTATGGGTAGATATACCCAAAACACCAACAGCAGCAGGACTTGTGCAGTGGAGGTAGTGGAAAGTGAAAGGGGATACTGGAGTAAGGGTTGCAGAACTGAAAAATTGCTAACCTGCAAATGGGGAGAACCCCACTCAATAGGAAACCCGGACAGTCAGGACTGAGAACTACCAGCAAAGCTAACAGAAGTTCCCACATGCTTTAAACTGAGGGTGGGTGAAAAACTGCTCAGTCTTGAGAGAATCAAACAACATAGGGCAGCCTAAATTCTCTGCATTCTTATAAATAACCATTAAATACTGCCTTCATTAAAAAAAGAGCCTCACCCGGTGGTAAACTGCTAAAAACAAACCAGATTGAGAATAGCAGCAATACTGTGGGTATAAGAAAGTTCAGATTGTGTGCGTGAGTGATATATAAAGTAATACATTAGCAATATGCAACATTTAAGATGTAAGTACAGGAGAGTAGTATTTAGGTACTTGACATTAACAACAGAGGAGGGAACCCTGGAGCTGTGAAGCTAAGAAAGTTTTCTTGGCACATCCCTGCCCTTCCTACAAGCACCTCCTCCTAATGGTCCAGAAATCCCATTTTATTTAAAAAAGAAATAGAATTGTGATGGTTAATTTTATGTGTCAGCTTGACTGGCCTAGGGGATGCCCAGATAGCTGGTAAAATGTAAATTCTGGATGTGTCTGTGAGGGTGTTTCTGGAAGAGATTAGAATTTGATTCAGTAG